AGCACTACAGGCCTACCTCAAGAAGCAAGAAAAATTTCTAATACACTATCTAAGCTCACAAATTAAAGAACTAGAAAGCATACAAAAAGAAAACCCCAGAGCAAGTAGAAGGAAGGAAATAGTAAAGATCAGAGCAGAAATCAATGACATAGAGACCAAAAAAACAATTCAAAGGATCAATGAAATAAAGAGTTGGTTCTTTGAAAAGATAAACAAGATTGATGGACCCTTAGCTAGACTCACCGAGAAACAAAGAGAGAGAACCCAAATACACAAAATCAGAAACGAAAGAGGAGAAATAATAACTCACAATACAGAAATGCAAAGGATTGTTAAAAAATATTATGAACAATTATATGGCAATAAATTCGACAATCTAAGCGAAATGGACCAATTTCTAGAAACACAAAACTGGACCGGGAAGAGATAGAAAACTTGAACAGACCAATAACAACAAAAGAAATTGAAGATGTAATTAAGACTCTCCCAGCAAACCAAAGCCCAGGCCCGGACGGCTTCACAGGAGAGTTTTACCGAACATTCACAGAAGAATTAATACCCTTTCTCCTCAAACTATTTCAAAAAATTCAAGAAGAAGAAAGACTTCCAAACTCGTTTTATGAGGCCAGCATAATTCTAATTCCAAAACCAGAAAAAGACACTACAAAGAAAGAGAACTACAGGCCAATATCCCTGATGAACATAAATGCCAAAATTCTGAACAAATACTAGCGAATTGAATCCAGCAATACATCAAAAAAATTATTCGCCATGAACAAGTGGGAATCATCCAAGGGAAGCAAGGCTGGTAAAATATTCATAAATCAATAAATATGATACACCACATAAACAAAATGAAAGATAAAAATCATATGATCATATCAATAGATGTGGAAAAGCATTCGACAAAATCCAGCACCCATTTCTGATAAAAACACTCAGCAATGTGGGAATAGAGGGATCATATCTCGACATAATAAAGGCCATATAGCCCTGGCCGGTTTGTCTCAGCAGTTAGAGCATAGGGCTGCGGCCCAGAGAGACCTGGGTTCAGTTCCCGCTAAGGGCATGTACCTTGGTTGCAGTTTGTCCTCAGCCCTGGTTGGTCGTGCGGGTGGCAGCCACTCGATGTGTCCCTTTCACGTCAATGTTTCTCTCTCTCTCTTCCTCTCTTTCCCTCCCACTCTAACTGAACAAAAAATGGAAAAATATCCCCAGGTGAGGATAAAAAAAAATGAATAAATAAAAAATATAATAAAAATAAATAAATAAATAAAGGTCATATATGAAAGACCTACAGCCAACATCATACCCAATGGGCAAAAATTAAAAGCATTTCCCTTAAGAACAGGAACAAGGCAAGGATGCCCACTTTCGCCACTCTTATTTAACAGAGTACTAGAAGTCTTAGCCACAGCAATCAGACAGAAAGAAACAATAAAAGGGATCCAAATTGGAAAGGAGAAAGTGAAACTGTCATTACTCTCAGAAGACATGATACTATATGTAGAAAACCCCAAAGACTCCATCAAAAATTTACTAGACTTAATAAATGAATTTGGCAAAGAAGCAGGATAAAAAATTAACATCAAGAAATCGATGGCATTCTTATACACCAATGATAAACTCACAGAAAGAGAAACTAAAAAAAATCCCATTTACCATCATAGCATAAAAATTAAGATACCTAAGAATAAACTTAACCAACAAAATAAAGGACCTATTCGCAGAAAACTACAGGTCATTGAAAAAAGAAATAGAGGAAGATATAAAAAAGTGGAAGCACATACCTTGTTCATGAATTGGAAGAATTAACATCACTAAAATTTTCATACTACCTAAAGCAATCTATAGAGTCAATGCAATCCCCATCAAAATACCAATGGCCCTGGCCGGTTTGGCTCAGCGGTGAGGGCATCAGCCTGCGGTCCACAGAGACCGAGGTCGGTTCCCGTTGGGGGCATGTACCTTGGCTGCAGTTTGTCCCTCGCCCTGGTTGGGTCGTGCAGGTGACAGCCACTCGGTGTGTCCCTTTCACATCAATGTTTCTCTCCCTCTCTTCCTCTCTCTCCCTTCCACTCTATCTGAATAACAAATGGAAAAATGTCCTCAGGTGAGAATAAAAAAATATATATATACCAACGACATACTTCACAGAACTAGAACAAATACTTCAAAAGTTCATGTAGAACCAAAAAAGACCTCAAATAGCCATAGCCACAGCAATCTTGAAAAAGAATAACAAAGTTGGAGGGATCACATTATCAGATTTCAGGTTATATTACAAAGGCACTGTAATCAAAACAGCCTGGTACTGGCACAAGAACAGGCATATAGACCAGTGGAATAGAACAGAGAACCCACAAATGGACCCAAGGCAATATGCTCAATTAATATTTGATAAAGGTGGCAAGAGCATACAGTGGAGTAAAGACAGCCTCTTTAATAAATGATGTTGGGAAAATTGGACAGCTACATGCAGAAAAATGAAACTAGACCATCAACTTACACCATACACAAGAATAAGCTCAAAATGGATAAAAGACGTAAATGTGACATGTGAATCCATAAAAACCCTAGAAGAAAATGTAGGCAACAAAATTTCAGACATCATCGCAGCAGAATTTTCACTGATACATCACCTAAGGTAACAGAAACAAAGGAGAAAATGAACACATGGGATTACATCGAACTCAAAAGCTTCTGCACAGCAAAAACAATCATCAAAATGGAAAGGGAACCCACTGTATGGGAGAACATAATTGCCAATGATATATCAGATAAGGGGTTAATTTCCAATATATATAGAGTGCTCATACAACTCCACAAAAGGAAAACAAAGAACCCAATTAAAAATTGGGCAGAGGAGCTGAATAGACACCTCTCCAAACAGGACATACAAATAGCCAAGAGATATATGAAGAAATGCTCAACATCACTAATCATCAGAAAGATGCAAATTAAAACAACAATGAGGTATCACCTCACACCTCTCAGAATGGCCACCATCAACAAATCATCAAACAACAAGTGTTGGCGAGGGTGTCGAGAAAAGGGGACTCTAGTGCACTGCTGGTGGGAATGCAGACTGGTGCAGCCACTATGGAAAACACTATGGTGTTATCTTAAAAAATTAAAAATTGAACTGCCATTTGACCCAGTGATCTCGTTTCTAGGAATATACCCTAAGAAGCCTGAAACACCAATCAGAAAGAATATATGTACCCCCATGTTCAAAGCAGCACTATTTACAACAGCTAAGATCTGGAAACAGCCCAAATGTCCATCAGTAGATGAATGGATAAAAAAGCTGTGGTACATATACACAATAGAGTACTATGCAGCTGTAAGAAAGACAGATCTCTTATCCTTTGAGATGACATGGAGGGACCTGGAAAGTATTATCCTAAGTGAAACAAGCCAAACAGAGAAAGACAAGTATCATATGATCTCACTTATTTGTGGAATATAATGAACATAACAGTCTGAGGAATGGGGTAGTCCCAGAGACGTGGAAGTAGGGTACAGACTGACAATCCCCAGAATAGAGGGTGGGGTGGGGGGAGATAAACCACAGAACTTATATGCATGTATGCATGGACAATGGACATGGACAACAATGCTGGGGATAGGGTGGGGGGAAAAGGAGAAACATCTGTAACAAAAATAAATTAATTAATTTAAAAAATAAATAAATAAAAAATTTTAAAAAAGAGTAGTATCACACTATAGAAAATGCTCTGATACACTATTTTTTTTTTTTATCTTCAACTGAGAACATTTTTCTATTTTTTGTTCAGATACAGTGGGAGGGAGAGAGAGAAACATTGACGTGAAAGGGATACATAGAGTGGTTGCCACCCACATGACCCAACCAGGGCCATGGCAAACTGCAACCGAGGTACATGCCCTTAGCGGGAACTGAACCCGGGTCTCTCCGGACTGCAGGTCGACCCTCCAATCCCTGAGCCAAACGGGCCAAGGCCACTATTCTAAAATCTAAAGAAGCCTTGTTGGTTACTGGTAAATTGAGTATTCTGTGGTATAATACATGAGGTATAATCTATAAGAACAATTAAAACTTTCCTGTCTTACAAAGTACCATTAAAACCTTAAAAGTGAAATACTGGTGTAAGAAGAATCCTGTAAATCACTTCCAGGACCGTGTTTGAGGAATCAGTACTCAGCTTCAGTCTGTATTGAAGCAAGGCGATGGTCCACCACACTACATCCTGGGCAAGTGCTTCCTCCGTGCCACGGAGAGGCTGCGGCAGGGGCACCATGGGTGCTGGGGCCGTCTGCAACGTGTGGCCCCTCAGGGAAACCAATGAGCTGGCATGGAGTAGGCAGAGGTGGGGGGTGGTAGCAGTGAAATTGTTAAGCAGGTAAGGGGGAATAAGGCAGTGACGTTGTATGGCTTCCTGCATTCAATGGGCTCTATTTTGACTAGAAAAAAATTACATTGACTTCTCCTTAGGACTCATAGGAGTGATTCCACAGAAATAGTGTAAAACAAATAAAAAAACAGAACTGATTCCTCTATAAGACAAAGGGCTTTGTAGGTGTCAGAAATATTAGCCCTTTTAATTCTTCAGCACTGCTCTAGGTAGAGCAGCATTGTGTTTTGTTTTCACCTTCCCTAGACACTCAGAAACCGCGTTTCTAAGACGACGGGAGAGGACACCGCCACTACCACCTCTCATGACTGTGAGACAGATGGCAAGGGCCGTAGGAAACTAAACGGCTACAGAACCGGAGCTTGGGTTCTCTGCAACGCTGCCAATAATGACCGTGTGGCTCAGGGCCATTTCAGTCCCCGGGACTACTGTTTGCCCATGGATACTACTAGCTCATTCTGAAGACTGCTTTACCCTTAGAAAAAATTTATAAAATACACTAGTTAATACTTAAACTCTGACTTAATTTTTAAGTATAAACAAATTACCTGATTTTAATGCTCCCCTCCTACACTTCTGAGCACAGAGGCGCCCACGACTCACCTTTCCAGTCTTTGCTGCAGGACTTCTATCTCCTCCTTCAGCTTCCGAATACACTCTCTCTTGCTTCGAATAAGCTCTTTGCTTCTATACATGTACCTAAGCAAATAAGCCCAAAAACACAATTTATATTTAAAAACATTAATGACACAAGTCTCAGCAAACTCGGCACACAGGAAACTCCCTCAATTAGACAAAGGTCATCTATGAAAACACACATTTAACATCACACTTGATAGTGAAGGTGGAAAGCTTCCCCATGGAGAAAATTGGGTAAAAAACAAAACAAAAACAATGACAATCAAATTAAACATGAAATTGGGGATAAACAATTAGATGTGTGCAAGATATACACTAAAAATTACAAAACACTGTTGAGAAAAATTCACAAAGAATGAAACAAATGGAGCTAATCTACGGTCATGGATTGAAGGACGGAAAATTGTTGTCAATTTCCCCAAATTAATCTACAGATTCAATACAATCTCAATTAAAATCCCAATCGGTATTAGGTGGAAAATTGACAAGCTGATTCTAACATTTATACAGAAATGCAAAGGATCGGAATAACCAAAACAATTTTGAAAAAGGAAAAACAAATTGGAGAACTTACTCTGAGGTCAAGATTTACAGTAAAACCACAGTAACCAAGACGATGTGGCAGAGAGATATGATCAGACAACAAACAGAACAGACTCCAGAAACAGCCCCAAATAAAGCTGAAGTGAAGCTGACAAAGCTACGGAGGAACTTCAGCGGGGAAGGAGTGTCTCCTGAGCACATGGCGCTAGGACACTGGCAGCCTCATCCCACCCTCCCCTCCTGTAAAACAGAAACAAGAACAAAACCCTTTATCTCACACAAAGTACAAATATAAACTCTAAAAGGGCCACAGACACAAATCCGAGTTAAAATTACAAAATGTTTAGGAAAAAAACAGAAGAAAATATTTGTGACCTTGATTTGGCAAAGATTTCTTAATCAGAACATAAAAAGCACAAAGTATAAAAGAAAAACTGATACATTACACTTTATCAAAACTAAAACTCCTGCTCTTCTAAAAACAATGGAAGAGACAGAAAATATTTGGATTTGTATATAAAAATATATTAAAAACTTAAAATTCAGTGTGAACACAACCAACACAGTTAAAAAAGTAGACAAAAGGTTTGTGAATGGACAGACACTTCACCAAAGAAAATATACAAATGACCATTAATTAAGTATATAAATAGGTGCTCAACATCATTTGTTATCAGGGAAACATAAATTTAAAAAAATAAGATATTCCTACAAACCCACTATGATGGAAAACATTAATTCCACATATTGGTGAGGATCTAGAGCAAATGAAGCTGATAGAAATGCAAAATTGCACGACCACTTCAGAAAATAGTTTGGACATTTCTTAGGAAGCTAAACATACACTTTTCACAGAAGCCAACAATCTCAGTCCTGGGCATTTACCAGAAACACTAGAACCCACAGCAAGACTTTTATGTGAACGTTCACAGCGACCTGACTCACACTAGCCTAAAAGTGGGCACATCTGAAATGCCCACCAATGGCCAATGGAAAAAACACTGTGGTACATCCAGAGAATGGAGCTAGTCAGTAATATTAGGGAACAAATCACTGACACGTGCAACATGGATAAATCCCAAAATCATAACCATAAATAAAAGACGAGCCACAATAAGGTATATATTAAATATTAAAGTCCCTAATTATAACATGTTAGAAATGCATAACTAAGGGGCTAAAAAACAAGTGATGGGGAAAGTGACCGACTACAAAGGGGCACAAGGTAACGCTCTGGATGACGGAACGTCCTGTATCTTGACTGTGATGGTGGTTACTTGCCTGAACACATTTGTCAAAACTCACTGGCTGTATACCTAAAAATGATAACTGTTTTCATATGTAAACTACACGTCAATAAATCAGACTAGAAAGAAATGCACTGTGCTTACTCCACATACTGTTCTTCACCCTCAAATTAGCAGGGCTTCACCTAAAGCCTAGCTCCTCAAATTGTGGACCAGGGATCAGCAGTATCAGCATCATCCTGAGAGATTCTTGGAAGTGCGAACTCTTGGGTTCCACCCCAGATCCACTAAATCCAAATCTGCAGGGGATTCATATGCACAATACACTTAGTATGGGCTCATTTCTGCTGCAGTAAATCACGAAGACAATAAAACACAGAACTCACCTGTCCATATATATGATCTGAGGAAACTCCAGCTTATTGTGAATTTTCTCTGGCTGACCAAGGGACTGATTGAACTCAAATCTTGACAGTTCAAAGGTCAATACTGGAGGTAGTTTTGTAAACCAACACTATGTCAGGAGTAGAAATGTGGGAGAAAGAAGTTATTTTTAGGAAATGGCAACAGTCAGATTTAAAATATCCCTCATCAAATTTGTTGTTTTGGTATAGAATTTATATTCAAATCAAACTCATACTAGAGCTTCTGTTTAATCTCAAATCCTAAAGAAAATGACCATTAGAATCATGCCCTCAATGAAAATTTGGTTAAACATTCTTTAGTACTCCAACTCAACTATCATCCTCAGGAAGACCCCTCTTAAACATGTGAGCTGCACCAAGCGCCTACAAAACTCATTCATTAAGCCACTGGTACTCAAAACAGATTTAAAACTTGAAAAAAGATGGCTAGCCTAATCAAAGAATTACAAATTATGATCTAAGCAGCATACAAATAAACAACCGTCTGCACAAATCAGCAAAAAAGACAGTATGTGTACATATATTATGTACTATTTACTTATAGTCTATTAACTATAATTTGAATCCCCTTTATTTCAAAAAGGAAATGTGAGCTAGCCCCATGATTATGAGTTCTCAAGTTTTTGAGAAAATCTCTCAATTTCAACAATTTACCGATGTCTTCTAAGGAACCCAGACATAAGAAACTATGTTACATTGAGTCTCAAGAAAAGAAAGCCCTGATTTATACACAAGATCTCACTGATGACAGATGAGGAAAAGCTAAACCAGGAAAGGCATTTCTCTTCAATTCACCTGTAGGCCAGAGATCTGTATGGCAGCTTCAAAATATTCCCTTTACCCAAGTTACAAACAGCTACCTTCCCTTTACACACCCTTGTCGACACCAGGCAAATCCAGATAGTCCGCCTCACTAGCTCAGGGCTCAAGCTAAACAAGCATAATGGTTTTCTTTCATATATATATATGGAGCGCTCCCATCCTTGAATACAGGTCTCCAGAGGGCTAAGTAGCTAATGAACATCCCTCCCTTGTAAGCACATGCACCAGCTCCGCCCAGCAGCAGTCCGGGGTCAGCACCTTCCCTGACGGCCAGGGAGGCAGCTGCTCTCCCAGGTCCAGCCCTGCTCTACCGCTGAGGCACTCGGACAAGGCTCATGTTACACTCCCTATTTTAATTCAAGAAAGCTTTTCTTTCTCCTATAGTAATTACTGAGTTGGACTCATCATCTAAGCTGCAATTTGGTCTCAAAATGTATCATTAAAAGAGAATAATCCGTGTAGTGTTGACAATAATGCTACAAATGCAACTCACTAATCCTTCACCCAGCTGAAATGCTGAGATATTAATTATTCTTGTTCTCCCTTTAATGTCCCCTTTCCTTTCCAACCCACAAAAATAAATGAATACAAAGTTAAAAAAAAAATTTTTTAAAGCAAAGGCAGAAGTTACAATTGAAAACAGTAAATAGTATAATAGGGAAAATATTCTAAATGGCATACCATAGGAGTTAATCACTGTACTTTTACCCTCCGAAAATATGGAGGCGGGGGTTCTCCCTACTCAGGTACAGGTAGGCTTCAACAGAAAGAGAAAAACTTGATCACACTTGAAACATCAGAAGCAGCACACAACCTTTATATGATTAACTCAAATTCCAAATTCATACTTCTAGTGAAGAATTTACTTATTAAGCCCTGGCCGGTTTGGCTCAGCGGTTAGAGCGTTGGCCTGCAGTCCAGAAAGACCCGGGTTCAGTTCCCACTAAGGGCATGTACCTCGGTTGCAGTTTGTCCCTGGCTCTGGTTGGGTCGTGTGGGTGGCAACCACTCGATGTGTCCCTTTCATGTTGATGTTTCTCTCTCTCTCCGTCCCACTCTATCTGAACAAAAAATGGAAAAATGTCCTCAGGTGAGGATTAAAAAAAAAATTTACTTATCAATAGTAAGACTCGCTAACTCATTTCAATTCATGAGACTTCAGACTAGTTCAAGTTTTGTTAAGTGCGAAGTTATGTGCTGGGAAAACGACTGGCCAAACAGCCCAGTCCTACTCCACTGGCTTTGTCATTGGCACAACAAGTAAAAATGTCCCACTCACCTCTTGTCCATACGTCACTGACTGATCGGAAGGAAGCAGCTCAATGTCACCCTCCACCATGGCCCCTTCCAAACATTCGTCTAAGTTGCGATAACCATTTACCTGAAGGGGATACTGGCCGAAGGTCTCATTGTTGCGAAAGGGCTTTCCTAGACAAAGAAACAGATTGATTTCTAAAAGCCATCACTACCACAGCGCCATCTAAAGCCCTTGTTCCCGGTACCCCAGAGACAATGTCTTCTGAATTCAGCAACACCCCGGGAACTGGTCTGCAGTGCACTTGAGTCTGAACGGCAACCTCGGATGAACCAGTGGATCCAGGCCCTGATCACTGACAACCGCTGACTGCGAGAAGAAACGAACCAGGCAGGGGGTGCCTCCTGCCCAAGACTATCCCACCACCTGTGAATTGGGCCTAAAAACGCCTGAATCCAGTCAAACTCTAGATCCCACTACCAATTTCTAAAAAGAGGATTAAGCCCTGGCCGGTTTGGCTCAGCGGTTGGAGCGTCGGCCTGCGGTCCGGAGAGACCCGGGTTCGGTTCCCGCTAAGGGCACGTACCTCGGTTGCAGTTTGTCCCCGGCCCTGGTTGGTCGTGCGGGTGGCAGCCACTCGATGTGTCCCTTTCACATCGATGTTTCCCTCTCTCTCTCTTCCTCTCTCTCCCTCCCACTCTGTCTGTACAAAAAATGGAAAAATGTCCTCGAATGAGGATAAAAAAAATAAAATAAAATAAAATAAAATCAATAAATAAATAAAAAGAGGATTAAGGGAATGTGTGAAACTATCATGGATATGCAAGCAGCAAAATTTCAGAGTGTGGGGAATACTAGAGAACAAACAATCCAGTTTCTTAAAAAAAAAACAAAAAAACAGTTTTCAAGGAAAAAAACTGGGGAAGGAAGGAGAGTGTACAGATTTGAAAAGAGACTTAAAAGACATATCAACCAATCATAAACACACCACATTTGGATCCTAATTAAAAGACACTGTAAAAATAGCTCTGGCTGGTTTTGCTCAGCGGTTAGAGCGATGGCCCTCGAACCAAAAAGTCGCACGTTCGATTCCCGGTCAAGGGCACATACCTGGGATGTAGGTTCGATCCCGGGCCCTGGTTGGGGTTGTATGAGAGGCAACCAATCAATGTTTTTTTTCTCTTTCTCTCTCCCCTTCCCTCCTTTCCACTCTATCTAAAAATCAATGGGAAAATATCTTTAGGTGAGGATTAAACAAAAAAAAAAGAAATTATAAAAATAAACATTCACATTCTACCTATTTTTTTGGAGTGATAGTGACATTGGATTGTTTTAAAAAGAATGTTAGAGGGGTAAGAGCAGACAGTGTCTACATAAGGAATGACTGGCCACAGGCTAATGGCTGATGAGTTCATGGAGTTTTTTTGATTTTTTTATCCTCACACGAGGACATTTTTCCATTTTTTGTTCAGACAGAGTGGGAGGGAGAGAGAGAGAAACATCAACGTGAAAGAGACACATTGAGTGGCCGCCAGCAGCACGACCCGACCAGGGCCAGGGACAAACTGCAACCGAGGCACATGCCCTTAGTGGGAACCGAACCCGGGAACCGAACCACAGGCCAACGCTCTAACCACTGAGCCAAACCAGCCAGGGCTCATGGAGGTTTTTATACTGGTCTATTTGTATGTGTTCAAAATTCTCTATAGTAGACAAACATTTTTGGCAGTCTAACACAATAAAACCTTTTGAGATTAGATATTACATTGGAAAAACAACAGGAAATTGAGTAAATTACTGTGTATCTAAAATTAATGCTAGATTTGGGTAATGCAAATGTTACACAATTTAATATAACAATTCTGAGATAACAATAAAGCCCACCATTTTTTTATTTTTTATTGACTGATTTTAGAGAGGGGGAAGGGAGAGGGGGAGAGAGAGACACTGACTTGTTGTTCCATTCATTTATGCATTCACTGGCTGATTCTTGTTTGTGCCCTGACAGGGGATCGAACTTGCAACCTTGGCATATCGGGAAGATGCTTTAATCAGCTGAGCTACCCGGCTAGGGTGATTGGGCCCATTTTATAGATAAAAAGACTGAGAGCTCACATAATTTGTCCACAATTACATAGATTCTAAGAGGCAGAACCAACACTCAGACCTTCGCTTGTCTGACTTCCAGGTCTTTTCTTTACACTGCCTCCACAAACGAGCACAGTAACACAGCTCTGGTCACAGGACCAGCATGAACGGTACAGCAGAGAACTTACCTTCGCGAACCCCTTCAGTGAGGAAAGTACCGTAGAATAGCTGCACCATTGGATTTTCAGACTTGTTCTTGGGATTGCTGCTTTGAACAAAGGAGACAAGGCGGTATCATTGGAATCAGCTCAGCACCACATTAAACCCAACCATCATTCAAAGCAAAAACATTACATTTTCATTAAACAAAGAGCCAGGCATGGTCTAATATAAGTAATGAATTCAGTCTAAACATTCACTGAACAAGTATATGCTAAAATCTAAAAACACAATGACAATAAGGCATGATCCCTGGCCTTAAGGGGCTAAAAGTCTCATACACAGATCTGTATACATTCAACACATACAGAGATAAAGACAGAGATAGAAACAGAGATACAGATACAAATACAGATACAGATACAATCTCTGAGATATACAAGGTACAGAAGTAGTACACAGAGAAGAATGAATCCTCTTGTGTAGTTCTGCAAATAAATAGAAAAAGTTTCCTAGTGACACAATAGTAATAGAATGAAAATACAGCTAACCCTTGAACAATGGAGGACATTAGGGGCAAAGTTGAAAATCCATGCATAACTTCGATTCTCCCAAAACTTAACTAGTTATAGTGTACTGTTGACCTGAAGCCTACCAGTAACATAAATAGTTGACTAACACATGTTTTGTATATTATGTATTATACACTGTATTTTTATACTAAAGCTAGAGAAGATAAAATGTTAAGAAAATCATTAAAGAAAGTACATATATGTTCCGCATTCATGACATACCAAACTTTTAACTTATTTTTATTTATCTAGGCTACATGGTTTGTCAAGTTTTTCCAATTTATTGCAAATCTCAAAAAAATGTTTCTAATATACACATTGAAACAAACATGCATGTATACATGGACCTGCACAGTTCAGATCGGTGCTGTTCTAGGGTCATGCAGTTTACATCTACAAACCTCTTAAACTGTTATTAACTATGTACATTTCTACTTACAAAGTGTTTTACGATATGTATTTCTTATGCCCAAAGTTACAATTTAGAAAATAAATTCCTCAGCACCTGTATTGGGTGAGGGATACTTGTATCTTTGCCTTGAATTTCTCTTCTGGTTCTCTAACATTCTACATAGATTTCACAAGTTGTCTTAAATGACATGGAAGGTATTCACATTATACCACCATGTTCACATCTATGATTGAGTTAACCTTTTAACACATTTTACAGCACAGGCTAAGGCTCTAACAAAGTTAAAAGTTATGGCCCTTTTAGTAAAAAAAAGTGTGGGTTTAACATGATTATCTATATTCTCAGAGAAAAACCAAAGGCAATAGGGATACACAATAACAAATATCTAAGTGGCTGCCTCATGAAGTCTGGTAAAACCAGCAGTTTCTACTTCACTTGAGTACCGTGCCCCTCATCATAATTCTCAGTGGACCCCCGTGAGCGGGAAGGACGGCAAGCAGGTCCGCACTCACTCGACGCTGACAGCCAGCTGGAACGCGTCCTCCAGCCGGTCCAGGAGCTTGTGTGTGAACTCACTCACGTCTTGCTAGGAGAGGTAACAAATTGCGTAAGAGTTAGACACCACCTATGCACAGGAACACAAACATCTGCTCTTATCCCACCAAGACTAAGATTCTATTCCCATGAAAGGATTTCTATTTCAGGGACAAGTATGAGGACACGGGGAACACGGGACTCGGCTGCGACAGGTGAAGCAGGAAGCACAGGAGGTGCCCTCTGGGCTGTGGCCAGGAGGGACTGCACCCGCCTCTTCTAACACCCTCCCAGTCAGGCCTTTGAGAAAAAGGTCCCAAGAACGCACTGCAGTCCTCCAGAATTTATGAGATCTGAGTGGAGAAAGGGAACTTGTAGAATGTTTTGAGATTTGGTAGAACTGTAGGACCTTCAGAGAAAGAAAAATTATTTTATGAGGAAGAACCTGCTCCAACAGTGAGCTTTGTTTTCCAACAGGAGCAGGGAAAGAAGGTACTAACTTCTAGAAGCCTGCTCAGAGAAGCTGCTGAATTCGGAGTTAGATAGTTTTAACTAGATTTCTGTCTGGGCCATCCCTAGACAAAGGTGCCTTTGCCCTTTAGACTGTCAAGGAGCAGGTGGTAGAGAGAGAGAGTGTGTGTTCTGTGGGGGAGGCTGGCAGTTCTAAAGGGAAGAAGTAGTACTAGAAAGAATAGAATTACACAGAGGCTGTTGAAGTAGGAGGAGATTAGAAAATAGCTCAGTGAGTCCTAGCACAGGGTCACCGAGAAAAGGGCAAAGGTAGAACCCATAGTCCTGATGAGTCATGTTCAGAGTTTATTACACGGTTAAAATAAAGCAACATCACAGTAATGTGGGGCATGAAGTTTGAAGGGAAACACGCGAAGAACAGGCTCCTGTACCTGCTGCTCCTCGGGCGATCGGAACGCTCCCTTTAAGAGATCTAGGGCTGCCGACGGGTCTACAAACTTGCGATTGGATCCCATCATCAGAGCAAACAGATACTGAAGCTCTTGCATAAACATGATATTTCTCTTTTCCTGTGGGAAACACAGCAATGTGTACTCTCACCACCTCTGACTTGGGAAACATACAGAGAAAAGCTGTCAGTGATCACTCCTTGATTTTCACCTAGCTCTAGACTGGGGTCAGGTCTCAAACTGTCACAGGCGCTCTGACAAGGTCTCTGCCGGGGCACCCTGAACTGAAAGCATGCCTATGCAGGGGCAGGGGAGAGCAGTGTCCGAAAGCGACGTGTCTGCCTTCTGAGCCCGCCCTCCCTGTCAGGACAGCGGTCGCGCAGGTGGAGTCCTGGGAAGGGCTCGACTGCTGGCGGAGGCTCCGTCCTTGGCCTGTCCCGAGGCGCAGGCCCCCAGCCAGGCCGCCTGGCCCGCGTCACTCGGGAGAGTGGCTGCCGGAGCCCGAGGGCTGCCACAGCAGGACGCCATTCTGCAGCTCCGCAGCTGCGGTCGGCAGGTGCTCATCACTTTCTTGCAACTGTTTTTCTAATTTTATTCCTACTTAACTTTACGTTTTTGCAAGCCCTGATTTCTTGTCGCAAAGAGGAAAGAGCCGCCTGGAAGTGAGACAGTGTGAGCACCAGCTGAGAATCAGTTACCAGCCTCGGCCAGAAAGGAGGAGCACGGGGCGTGCACGGGGCTGGGCAGAGGCTGCCTCGCGGGACTCACGGTGTGGCTGGGACAGCTCTCCAGTGCGCTCTGCGGCAGGCTGTAGCTCAGGACCAGGCTTCGAAATGCAGGCAACTGAAAGAGAGACTGAAATGAAGAAAGAGATGGATTGGTGGCCTTTCTTTCAAAATGATGCAGCAAGACAAGACCTTCACCTTAAAAGTACGTATAACTGTCAACAGTAATTCTACTTCTATTGTGTCCAAGGAATAAGAATGGCTGTGTACAAAAACTGAGCTGAAAGAATGTTAATCCTTTTAGGAAAAACCTAAAAACAACATAATGGCTAACAAGAGGAACAGACAGATAAACTATAGTACATTTATACAACAGATTGTTATGTAGTCATTAAAATACTTCTGTGGAAAAGAGTGTTTCATCGAAGTGGACTGTGCACCGCAATGAATATGAATGACCAAGAGCCCCATGAGTCACTATGGGTGAATCTCAGACATATATTTTGTGTGAAAAAAGATTACAGAAAGAGGATGACATTGTTTATATTATGCTGGAACACTGTTTCGGATCCATACACATCCGGCCGCATGGGAGGGGAGGGAGGGCCTGGGGGATGGGACCACGGGCCTCCAGAGCAGGGCCTCCTGACGGTGCTGCTGAAGCTGGTCGTGAGCACAGCAGCGCTTCCGCCTCCCACCTGGCTGGTCCCACGTGTACTGGTGAAGTTAACAGCAGACCTATCTCTGGCTGGCAGAGTTAGGGAGAAGGGTTCTTTTCATTGTTTTGTAAACCATACATTTTTCAAACTTGTCCCGTGACTGACTCTCATCCCAACATGCTCCTCACTTGAAGGCCCAGAGCCGCATCACTGGAGGACAACAGGCCTCCCTCCCCTCCCTCGACCCAGGCCCACTGGGACTCACCACTGGGCAGACGACAGCTGGACGGCGACATCAGCCCACTGCCTGTCCCCGCCGGCCGCCCGCGAACCTCCACTCCTCCCAGCTCCGCCCCTACTCTGCCCACCACCCCGTAACCTGTTCCAGGGCTCGGGTTCCACCCTGAGAAAAGTGGCCATATATTTTCAGTCACGTCACTCCATCTCCTCATTTCCCCCAAAATGCCACTGTTCTAAAACCACAAAGGTATTCCCAACCCAGCATCAGCATGATCCTCCGGCACCTGCTTCTCCTGCGCTCTCTACTTCATCCCAGCCTCCTCCTCCAGGTGCTCAGGTGTAGAAATTCAGTCATCATGGAACCCCTTCCCCTTCTTAACCAGCCACGCCGAACAAGGAGGCAGTGCCTTGGCCCAGCCCCTGGGGTTCTGTCTACCACCAACTCCTCCCTACCGATGGCGGAAAGCAAAGTCCATCACTGCTCACCTGGATCACTGCTCACCTGGGCCACTGCACGCGCTGCCTACAGCCTCCCTGCCTCCAGAACACCCCCTGTACCAATTCACCTGCCACCAGATTCTTCCATCTTTCTAAAGCGACCAAAATGAAGCTCCTGACGCACTGAAGACTACAGTCTGGTAAGAGGTCTTACGATCCCAAGTCCTGTCATCCTTCTAGGTGACTTCAGTCAACGTTCAATCCATGGGACCTCCTGTCAGCTCTACCTTCAGAATAAATCAAGACCCACCCTCTTGTCAGCGTCCATGGCGACCAGCCGGGTCGAGGCCCAGGGCCTCTCGCGCGGAGGACTAGTCGTCTCCTCGGTCTCCACACCTGTACTCTTGCCCACTCCTTCCTTCTCACAGGAGCCTTTCAAAGCGCAAGTCCGCGGTCATCACTCCTCTGCTCAGAACCCTCAGGGGCTCCCCATCTCACTGAGAATGAAAGACAAGCGACTTCTCCGACTCCCCCCCAGTGACCCCCACTGCTCCTGGCATCCCTGCCCCCCCCCAGGCTCCCGCCCGTCCCATGCACATGCCGTCCCCTCCAACACACTCCCCAACACACTCCCGCTCAAGGCGTCGTCCAGGTTCCCTGCCTGGAGTGCCCCGCCCTTGCCTCCCCCAAGCTCATGTCCTCAGCCCAACATCAGCCGCACCGCACCGGCTCTCGGCCTCCTGCAGCGACTGCGATCTCCCTGCCCTGCTCTCTCCTGTCACGTGACCACAGTTCGACACACTATGTGACATCGTTTCATGGGGCAACACAAGGCTGTCTTGGTTGTGTCCACGCCTGTATCTCAAGGACCTAGAGCAGTTCTAGACACATAGTAGGTGTTCAACTAAGATGTGTTGTGGGAACACACGTCATGCATTCAGCCCAGGGACGCTTTGTCTTCCTGAGCATCTCTCTGCAGTGACACAGTCCTCCACTCCGTCTCTACACCCATACGCAAGGCCACACCCAGGATATGCCAATACCTGAAAACCTGCCAAATCTCAGATCACAAATTCAGAAAATCCCACTCTTAAACCATAACCTGTCTCCCGGCTTATTTTTTTCAACTACCCACAGGGCAAGTTCTTTGATCTTATCAGGAACCTAAGCAACCTGACCTCTTTCCTTTCCCCTAACCACTAATTCCTTCTTGTCTTCATTTCTCCCTCTCCCTAGCTTTGATACCCACCCTTCATTAAATTATCAAATTGTCTTTCATCATACCCAGCAAATGCTCCAACCTAAATGAATTTAATTTTCCACTGAAGAGTTTCAGAATGCTGCTAAGAAGTCCCAATAAAAGCAGGACATACTGATATCACCATACATTCAAGGTCAACAACATTAAGCAGACCTTCAAATTGTCAGAAATCCTACTCTGGTGCCAACCGTTGCCCACTGTCTGCAAGAACTCTTTTAAACTTTTACTCCATTTAAATCGGACTCTTCCATTTCTCAGCCTGTCTCAGAACAGGGCTGCTTCTCCCACAGAGGAAAATATGACTATTAGAAAGTCTCTCAGCCCTGGCCGGTTTGGCTCAGCGGTTAGAGCGTCAGCCTGCGGTCCGGAGAGACCCGGGTTCGCTTCCCGCTAAGGGCATGTACCTCGGTTGCAGTTTGTCCCCGGCCCTGGTTGGTCGTGCGGGTGGCGGCCACTCGATGTGTCCCTTCACGTCGATGTTTCTCTCTCTCTCTCTGTTCCTCTCTCTCTCCCTATCACTCTATCTGAACAACAAAAAAAAGAAAGTCTATCAGCTTTAATCTGCAGTCATCATCTCTTCCTTCTTTCCCCTGCTCCTCTCTTGCCTCTGGCTGCCCCCCATGTTTCAGACGCCTCGGCTCGTGCTTTCTCAGAACCTCCTGCGGTTCCCGCCAGTCCCTCTCAGCCCCTCAGCACGAAGGCGGCGTGATGCAGGCAGCGTTCTGTCCCTCCCAGCTCCGCCTGGTGTCCTTCGTTCTGGGTTACCTTCCCAAACTCTACTTTCAGCAGATTCCCGTGATCCTCTTAAAGGGAAGTGGGATCACATCACTTCTCTGCTCCCGTTTCCAGGACTTTCCCATCTCGTCTATAATCCCTAAACCCTCATCATGACCCCAAGCTCCCCTCCTACCTCCACCTTTCTGACTTCACCCCTATCTGCCCCCCCACTCAGTCTAGCCTTTTCCCTGTTTCTCAACTCACTACGCGGCTCCTGAACCTGGGTCTTTTCACTTGCTGTGTCCTGTCTACAATGCTTTTATGTAATTATACGAAATGTTCTTCACGTAATTTTATGGCTCATTTCCTCGCCTAATGCAGGCCTCTGCTCAGATGCCCACCTTGTCCAAAAGGCCACACCTAACTGACTGCCTGCATAAACAGCAGCCTCCCTCGGCAGCTGGGCCCCTCTGGGCCCTCTCGCCCTCACTCTTCAGGCTTTACGACACCTGTTCACTGTCTTCCCCACTTGCTGCAAAGTAAGTTCACGAGTGAGGGCTGTTGTAGTCACTACTGTGCCCCCGGTACTGAGACTCTGCCAGGCACGGGAGTCCATGACGGTCTGTGGAAGGGAGGGCTCCGAGTGAGGGCTGTTGTAGTCACTACTGTTCCCCCGGTGCTGAGACTCTGCCAGGCACGGGAGTCCATGACGCTCTGTGGAAGGGAGGGCTCCGTGGGCTGTGCAGCTGGGCAGCCGACAGCACTAGGCAGAGCAGGCTGCAGGGCGGGTCGGTGCTGCCCGTGGCCATGTCGGGTGCAGATGCCTCAGACAACTCCAGAGACGCAGCTCTCTCCAGGGGATTCATCCACTCCTTGGCTTTATCACCACCCATGCTACTGATCCCCAGAACTGGATCCACAGCCCCGATCTTCCTACTGAACTGCAGGTTCATATAGTTAACTGCGTACAAGACACCTTCCTGTGGCACCTCCAATTTAGTGAGCGTGAAACTGACCGACCCCAGAGGCCTGCCTCACAAGAACCAGATGTGAGGTGCTGGGGCGACCTTGTCAGAGCAGGAGTTGGGCCAGGTGAATTTGCGATCAAAGGCCAGGACCACCTTGCAAACCCTCATGGCTGCACTCTCTGAACAGCAGGCGGCCCCAGGAGGGTGCCGGCGGTGGGCGCGGGGCGAGGGCGGCGGCGGCGGGTGCGGGGCGAGGGCACAGCTGGGCGCACACCAGCAGCCATCTGGGGATGTGCTGTCGGCCAGGTTTTCAAATAAAACCAGAAGGGTCAGGGGGATGCTCTGTGGCTTCTTCATGGATTGAGGTTAAAACTGGAAGCCATGGATAAGTTAATCCTAAAAGTCATCTTGCAAAGTGCTCCTGGACGGTCACACAGAAGCATGGAGGTGGCAGGAGTCCCCGCCTTCTGTGAGGCTTCGGTAGGAGACTCCGAGGGGACAAATCTGCACACGTGTGTCAGGGAAGGCAGGGAGCCGCGTGGAGAGAAAGGTGCAGCTGTTAGCCTGGGGAAGGTCGGTGGGGATGGCAGGCAAGGCCATCCACCCGCACAGCAGCGGTCAGGGGCTGTTTCTGTCCAGAAGGAGGAAAACGGGGCCAAGTCCACCCCACTTGTCACATGAGGGACTCCAAAGCCATGATGGGGCCACGGTGCAGTCAGCCCTAAGGGGTCAACGGGCTCCCCAAGGTCAACTGGCTCCCCAAGGCGCCTCAACAACCCGGGCTTGCTCTCGTTTAACCTCTGTATCACACAGCAGGTAACACATTTTCTTTCATCCACCCAGTTCACTTACTCCCGCATTCATTCATTCACTTGTATCTACTCAAGAAGCCGGAGAGGTGAGTTACACACTGGCTCTGCCTTCAGGGAGCCCACTGTCTAGGACATGATTTTCTTTTTTAAGTGTTTAGAAGTATTTTCAATGAAAAGAGTGTTAAACATGGATTTACAGAAGACACAAAGTTAAAATGAGGACTCTGGACTGGAGTACCTTACAGGTTCCTCTCTCATCCACAGTCTGTGATTAGGTGACAACCTAACCTATTTTTGTCACATATCTTGTCTCTGCCATTTAATAAATATTAGAAAAAAACTGAACTGAAATCCCACTCTGAACAAACACCCAAACGAGCTCTCCTAAAGGGTCAAGTGGCGTCATCCGCCTGGTGTTCCAGCCAGAACCCTCGTCCTTCTCCGCGCTCCTGCAGAGAGCCTCAATCTAGCCACGTCACCAATGCTGCAGAGACGACCTCCTAATGCCGCCAGAATGTTCCACTTCTTCCTCCACGGCGCAGGCCACCTCTCCATTCCAGAACACCCTCACCATCTGCCTGGACACCTAGCACGGCCGCCCAACAACAGACTTCTCCTCCCCAACGCCTGCTCTGCCACAACACAGCGGCCACTGCGCATGGATCCAAAACACCTACTCAAGATATCTGCGACCGCAGAGGGCTTTGTTTCCAGGGTTGCCCAATTTGGACACCAGAGCATGTCCATCCAGAACCCAGGAAAGCAACCACACCCAACCCCATCACGGGGAACGCCCAGTTTCATATCTGTTTCCACTGCTTTAAAGCTATTTCTCACATCATGGTTTAGTCCTAAGAACATCGTTTCCAGAAGACACAGTTGTCTATTAAATATATCATACCTGAATAACCGCACTAAACCAACATGTATTGCCAACATTTTTCAGCCCAACTGGCCAACCATCGACGCGCCTCCAGTCACTGGGATTGGGGTTTTCCCCCCACACCTCACAGCGTTTCCTCTTGGAGCGTTTGGTTTCTGCAGAGGCTGCCTCGTGCACCCTGTGTTCCGCCAACATACCAACAGCAGAAGAGAGAACAGTTAAAGGACAATACACTCTATGGAGGATGTTGTTAACTATTCATAGGTAGTTCAAAATGCCAGATACACTATTTACTGGGTGATCACTGGCTATATAGTAATTATAAGATTATAACATATGTGAAAAGTATGTTTTAAACATAGAGATGTTAATCCTTAGATTTTTACTAATAAGGTCCTTGATGAAAATAAGTTGAGACTCAAGACTATTTATGACTATCATATTAAAAATTTAGTTTTCAACAACAGTGCCCTATCTCACACTGTCTCATTGAAAGAGGCAAGAGAGATACCCTGCTAAAGATAAGAGCCTCCAAACTGTCCGGCACACAACCCATGGCCTGCGTTTCCCTGAAAGAAACAACCCAACTGCAGGAGGGAATACGCATACCTGGAAACGGACAGGCCACCACTGGACCTAGGTATGTGTGGATAATTCCAGCCGATCACCCAATTAGTACCAATTCAAAAACTATATTCCCCGTTCACTTCTGAGACAGGGCAGTTGAGTCATCATTTCATCTTCAAAAGTCAACATAACCCTCAAAGTTTACAAAGGCTCAAAGTTTATAATGGGCATACATATTTATTGGACACTGGGATGGGATTTCCCATCATTCAGCAATTATGAACTACAAACCCTGCAGGCTTCTACTCGAAGACCACAGGCTGCAATAAGACACTTACCATTTTTGGCATTTTCAAAAGTGAACCAAAGTAGACTAATGTAAATTAAAATTTTTTTTCTAAAAAAAATTAATTCAGGTGCAATTATAGAAGCCAGGAAGAACTTCTCTTGAATGACACACACACAGGTATTGCCTTTGACATACACACTAATGTGGAGAGCGAAGACTATAAATTAAATCCATTACCTGTTAAGATCTCTTCCATCAGCTTGAACTTTAGGGGACTCCAGTAGACTCAAAGCAATCGCAGCCTGAAGATCATCTTTGTTCTCGTGAGTAAGGTCTATTACTTCTGTAAGATACATTAAAGTTTAATTAGTCTACATGCAGGAAACACTTTCCTTGGGTCTCTACTGCAGGTAAAAAAGTAAAAGAATTCATAAAATTAGGTATAATCAAACTCACATATGATTACAAATGCAAAAAACCAAAACAAAACATTAGCAAACAGAATCCTACAAAGAAAGATTCTATAGTAAGACCAAGTTGAGTTCATTATAGGAAACATGGAGTTAACATTAGAAAACAGACCAATGAAATTCACTATCTTAACAGTTAAAGGAAAAGTAATAATCTCAATAGATACAGAAAAAAATAATTAATAACGATCAACCTCTAGTCAAGCATAAAAACTCCTAGCAAGCTAACTAGGAAGAGAAGAGAGTATTCTTTGGCTAAGACAGAGTATCCACGAAAAGCCCACAGCACACTTTATACTCAAAGGTGAAATGTCAAACACATTTCCTTTAAAACCAAGACTAAGACAAGGCTTTTGTTCACTATGGTTCTGAAAGCTCTGGTCAATACAATAAGAAAAGAAAAAATAAATTTTTAAAAAATACAAGAATTGGAAAAAAGAAACTAAGCTGTCATAATTCACAGATAATGATCACCTACAAGGGAAATCCAAAATAATCTATAGATAATAGTTATAATTAATAAAATGTGTTTAGATGAAAGATCAATGTACAAAAGTTAAGTGAATTTCTATACATGAGCAATGAAGAACATTTAATTTAGAAAAACACACATACACACAAAATGGTAGTAATCAAGACTGAGGTACTGGCATAAAGACAAACATACAAAAAGGAGAAACAGCTGTAACAAAAATAAATTAATTAATTTAAATAAAAAGACAAATATACAGACATATGGAACAGAAACAAACCCCATATTTATGGTCAATTGGCTTTCATCACAAGTATCAAGACAATTCAATAGAGAAAAACTATCTTTTCAACGCATGGTGCTGGGACAACTGGATATTCACATGCACAAGAATTACTTTAAACCCCTACCTCACACCATTTACAAAAATAAACTTAGAGTAGACAGTGCCATCATGATTACAGCTATAATTGTAAAACTCTTAGAAGAAAACACTGTAAATCTTTGTGACCTTGGAGTAAGCAACAGCATCTTAGAGATGACATCCAAAGTACAAACAACCAAAGGAAAAACAGATAAAGTTGACATAAAAATAAACAAAACAAAACACAAACCTATGGGCTTCAAAGGACATGATCCAGAAAGCAAAAAGACAATCCAGAATGGGAGAAAACTTTTGCAAATCATGTATCCAGTAAGGGACCTATAGACTATTTAAAGAATCTCTGCAACTAAAATAATGAAAAAAAGAAAAAGAAAAACCAAATAGCCCAATTTTTTAAATGGACAAAGAATTTGGATAGACGTATTTCCGAAAGAGATATTCAAATGGCCAATAAGCACATGAAAAGATACTCAACCTCATTAGCCATACACAAGTAACATGAATCAAAATAGCTCACAGCAGCATTGTTTATAATAGCAAAAAAGGTAAAACAACCCCAAAGTCAATAAACACATAAACTGTGGTATATTCAGACCATGAAATACTATATACTAGTGAAAATAAATGAACTACAGTTATAAACTTCAACATGCATGAGTCCCCCAAAATACTGACTGAAAAAAGTCACTATGTGCACCAAAGACATATACAAGAACGTTCATACCAGCATTATTCAGAATAGATCAAAACTGCAAACAGAGCAAATACCCATTAACGCCATCTGACCCAGCTGGCGCTTTGCTACCCCTGGAAGCCTCCTTGGCGTCGAGTACCTCTCTCCCAGTTCTCTTGGTCTTCCTCCAACCTCCCTGAACACTCTTTTGCTCCCCAGGCCTCCCTACACTGGGAGTGCCCACTGCTTAGTCTCTGATCCTTGTCTTCTCTAGACCCACTCCCTCGGCGAGTCCATCCAGTCTCAGAACTCTACATACCACTTCTAGGTCTGTGACTCCAAGTCTTACCTCTCTCCAGCCGGGTCTCTCCCCTGAACTGCACACTGGATCCCCACTGCCTCTCTGACACTCCACCTGAATGTCTAACAGCACCCCAAACGTAATCACCAACACCAGTCTCTCCGTCTTCCGCCCCAAAGTTGCTCCACCTGCAATTATTCCCATGTCAGTTAACTGCGACTCCAAAGAACCTGGAGTCACCTTTAACTCCTCTCTCAACCCTCTCTCCTCTGCCAGCAAGCACTTCTCATCCCTCCACCCACCCCCACCCCCGGCCCACCCAACGTCATGTGCAGTTGCCTCCTAACCAGCCTTGGCTCCCTGCTCTGACCCATGCTCGCTACCCCCTCCTCCACATTCTGTTTCCAAAAGAGCAGTAAGAACGATCCTAGAAAATGGAAACATTTTACATCATTCCTCTGCTCCAAATTCTCCCACAGCTAGCCCTGGAACCCAGAGAACAGCCAGAGAAGATCGGACGGTTCTGCACCACCTGCCTCCTGTTCCCATTTGGCCTCATGCCTTACTGCCCTCCTCACTCACTAAGCCTCAGCTCTGCCTCCTTGCTGTTCCTTGAGCAAACCAGTGTATATGCCCATCTTAAGACCTCACCTGACGTACACTCACCCCTTCTCAAAAGGCTTATGCTATTTCAGATCTAATCCTCAGAACTCCGTTTTTCATTACATCCTTAAATTTTTCTCTATGGTACTTAGTATGTTCTAATATGCTATATAATTGATTTGCTTGTTCATCTCCCCTTGAAAAAATAAGTGACATTAAGACCACGATTCTTGTCCCTTTGGCTCATCTCCAGTGCCTAAAAATACTTGACACATAGTAGGTGCTCATTAACTAAGTGCTCACAGCTGTGCGTGGCACATGGGAATGCTTTTATAATCCACGATCATTACCATTATTTCCAAACGGTTGACGTAACCGATAAGAAACACACACTCATCTGTTCTTTTTTGCTAGTTCAGAGCAGGACTAAGACAGGATATACTCACTTGCTAATCCTTCCTTGTTGGCTGCACTGCCCTCCACTTCCGATGGTTCTGTAGCAACAGTGTCCTGACTGGGCTCCTTCACCCTTTCGTCTGTGAGAAGACTGACTGCCAGAGTGATGTCACCATTGCTGGCCTAAGGAGAGGGAAAAACAACTTCAAGAGTAAAGCATCACAGCATTTGAAATAAGTGGCATGTTCATTGCTTGGTCATCACTCACCCCCCTGGTGACACCCTGAGTAAGTCAGGCCGAAGTCCAGGGTAGAACTAGAGACAGAGCCTGGTGGACAGAAAGGAGCTGCTAAGCCCTGATTTACCACAACACACAGAAAAGAACGAAATCTCACTGGAGACTTGTTCTTGCTGCTTTGGATGCTACTATTCCTGACTTCACCGAACAGCTCAGTCACGATGTATCAAAAGGGGGTGGCAATGAACAGATTCAAAATGAAGGCAGGCTCTACAATAAAATTGCCAAGCAGTTACCACGTTCTATAGTGGTGACCATACTTGTATTTGTTTTTAAATTTTTATTAGGAAAAGTGTCTAGCATTTATAATAGCAGAGAATAAATAATTGAACCCACCACTCAGTTTCAACAGTTATCAAGGTGGTCGATCTTGTTTTATCTATTCTGTCTACCCTCTCCCAGATATTATGAAGCAAATCATAAGCATCCTATGAGTTCATCAGTCAACATTTCGGAATGTATCTTTTTAAAAATATATCCAGCAATACTATTATCACACTTAAGAGTAAACATCAAGTTTTTAAATAACAAGTAACCATTTTAAACTTTCTTAATTCAAATATCTATTAGTTTGAGTCAGGACCCATATAGTCGATACAATGCAATTAGTTGGTATGTTTCATCCATTTCTTTTACCCTGTAGGGTTCACTGCACTGTGAGTCTCCCCCAACCCCCCCCCCTCATCATTTCCACGTTGAAGATACTGGGTTACTTGACCTGTAAAGCTTCTGTCCCTACATACACTTTCATTTTGGCATAAAAATCGCTTGACTTGACATAACTATGATATGGACAACTGTTTTAAAGCCGGGTGACTAACAGGAGTCTTGGGACTGACCTTCAGAGCTTCGTGAAGAAAGGAAGGGTCCTGAATGCCCGTGATTTCTCTCAGCTGATTTAACAGCATTTGGCAGCTCTTCAATTGAGAAACAAAACAAAACAATAAACCACAGACGTGTCAGTCAGAACATAAACTTGAACACATTTGAAGAACATAAGCATCTTGACTAAACAGGCCTGAGATTTGCATTTTTTAGTTTAAAGAACTGACAACCTCCAAGCACCAAGGTACTATCTGTTGTGGGGCCAGGTCTCCCAGAATGTGCCACCCTGCCATGCAGATTATTTTGAGCTGAAAACAGTTAAAGCTTAATGAAACAGGAAGCTATCTCCCCCATTCCCACCTAAAGAGATTCAGATAGAAAAGCCTGCGTCAGGAAGGGACCTGGCAGAATCGCCCTGGCATATTCACTTTAGCACAGTGACTAAGTGTGCCCCGTTGTTTCTGGGTCACCTGGCAAGAATTTGCTGGCACTTTGTCTCTGCTGTGAATTGCCCATTTCCCCTTAGAACTCCCTGACTCTTCCCCTTTCTTGTCCAAACTGACATATCTCCCTCATTTTGCCCCCATCTTTGTAATTTTCATGCTTATGTGAATTCTCTGTGCACATGTAAAAATTTGATCTTCGCCCAGCTGGTGTGGCTCAGTGGTTAAGCGTCGATCCTTGCACCAAGAGGTCACCAGTTCGATTCCTGGTCAGGGCACATGCCCAGGTTGTGAGTCAAATCAGTGGGGGGCATGCAGGAGCACTATTTCCATCTCTCTCTCCCTCTCCCTTCCTCTCTCTTTCTCTAAAAAAACAAAATCAATAAAGAAAAAAAAAGTGATCTTCTCCTGTTAACCTGCTGTATGTCGTCTGAATTGTTCAATCAGCCAGAAGAACTAAAGGAGTTAGAGAAAGGGTCCCCAGCCCCAGCACAGTCAACACATATTCTTTAATGCCAAACCCATAACCTTCTCCAGAGCTTACTCGTGAAGAAACACGAGTGGCAGTAACCCTGTAAGTGTATAAGACATGCAGTGTGACGTTCTAGACTTGAGATGCTTCAAGTGCTCCGGTCTCTTTCTGTGAGCAGCACACCAGGAAGGAGAACACGGACGGGGCCCAGGGAATGTGCACGGATGTGAAGATGTGCTATTTTAAGCTTCGCTGCACATGCCATTTGTGTGTCATTTTTCACTGACGATAAGTTTCCAGCCATGTAATTAACAAATGATATCACCAATATGATATTTAAAACTTTAGGTTTAATTGCTTAAATGAAATAGGAAGCTAAAATTTTCTAATGGTAAGTAAAATTCCAGGGGGAATCAACTATAGAATGTTTTCTCTTCATTGATCTGAACCATGGAAAACTATCTTGTTGTGATTTCTGGCTACCCCAAGATCCATTTATACCCCCTTCCAACCTTAACATCTTCACTGGAACATTTTGTCCTGTTTTGCACAGAGACGAAAGTCAACACAAAACAACTAAGTACAAGTAGGCTCAGTTTCAACAACTGGCTGTCCAACTGGAGACATTGATCATTTGGACGAATATTGAAAATGAAATCGTTCAAATTTAATTCGGTGAGAAGAAATCTAATTTCTACCATTCCTAAGGTGACCCCAGAATTAAGCTCGGACGCGATACATGCTGCTTCACACCGATGTCCCCCAGCGAGTGACGCGGCTCAAGGGCAGGGCACTGGCGGCCAGCTGCAACAGAAACAGGACCCCGTGCTCAACAGCTGCGAGCCCAGCACAGCGCCGAAGCATCACAGGACACAGATAGCTCAATGCAACCCCCCGGAGCCCGTCTTTCTGTTCCAGTCACACACCACAGTCACAGGCTGGAAATGGAACCCGACTCTGCTGAGACCAGCAGTCTCTGAGGCTGCGAGTCTTGTCCAAGGAAGTCACTGCTGTGGACTGTGGGACAGTGACTCGCAGTCTAGCAGGTGTCCAGATTTAGCCTTGGCAAAGGCTGAAAATGCAAAGCATGTGATTTTTAGAAAAATAAAATATTAAGAAGTTTTCTCCAAACAAATCCCAATTCCATTTGATTTTATTGTGAATCTCAATCATAGACAATTTTCTAAGAATCAAAATCAATATACCCCAAAAAGAGGTGGAATAACTGGGAGAGGGAAATGAGGAGCCATGAAGGTCACAATGGGTTGGACAGCCACACTTCCCCTTAAATTACTCTCAACACCAACTGACACTTAGGATTCACAGAAAATAATACCTATAAAAAGTAATCACACATGCTGCTTACTTTTAGTCAGGTGTTCTTCAAAACACTTCACATGTAGTAACTAATGTAACCCTCACCACAAACCTGAGATGGATATTTGCCCATTTGACCAAAAAACTGAGGCACAGAGAGGTCAAATGACCTACACAGGTTACTGCTAGTAAGGGGAGGAGCTGAGATCTGACCCCTCGCTGCCCGATTCCAGTCTGCACTCTAGGCTCTAGGCATTGCTGTATCTGCGAAAACAAATAAGCAAGGATACCTACTTGATGCAAAACAATGCAAATATTTTGTATTTTGACTTTGACCTTTGCATCTTAACAAGTTTCCTATTTCTTTTGTCAGCCTGTATAGAATCACAACTGTGATTACTTACTAGTACAGTCATACTAAACAAGGTGTCATTAAGAAAGTACTGTATTTGAGTAAATACTACATTTTACTGCACCTAAGGTGTCATCAGTTATGAAAAGTATTTTATGCAGCACTAAGGAGAAAAACCATTGCCACTTAATCTATGACACAATGCCTTCATGACAGTCCCAGGAGACACATAAACTGGTCACACCAGCTTCTTGCAGCTCTAAAATTTCTTATTTACGTTGAGAAATTGAGCAATTTCCCCTGCTCCAGGTGCATAGCCCGACATGTCAGGCAATTCTTTGCGTGTGTCTCAGTAACAAAACTTAATAACCTACAGCATCCTTCTTTCTCAGGTCCCATAAGGCACTTGACTGCAGCTCTGCAAGAAAATCTGAAACTGCAATCATTTTCTTTCACATAAAATCAAATTTATATCCTGTGGTTCTGTTGCTGTGCCTTTCTTTCATTTTTTTTCTTTTTTCATTTATATGTTGAATCACAGTGTGATATTTTTAAAGACATTTTAAATGGCAAGTAAACTAACCAGGTAGTGCCCACAGGGCATTATAACTCAACCCTCATGACAGCAGAAACAGCCATGACCAAGAACATACGTTTGCAGACATAATGACTACATCACATTTGGAAGACAGTAAATGTAAGGGTCATCTCAACTTCAGAGATGTCAGAATGCCAAATAAATGCAAATCAATGAAACATAGTAGCAATATTAAATAATTTCTACTCGTTATATTTGGCGATGGATTGAAGCCCCATTCCCCTTTCTCCACACTTTGTAAGAGGTAGCAGTGGACATCGATACATCTAGAATAATATCCTCAGGAAAGGAAAATACCCTTAGTTTCCCTTTTTTAAAGCTATCGAGCAGAGATGACAGCTTGTAAAATCATTTTGTACAGCTCTAAGAACAGTTCTACATGTTAGTTCAAATCCAAATTCCTCATCTTGCTATTATTCAAAGACCATCACCTGGTTCTACCCTTCCCATGCTCAACCTTTTCTCCTACACAATTCCTTACCTCACAAACTCAACTGAAGTGTTATTTCTATCATGTCTAGCAACACCTCCTACATTGGACTGACCATGGAATGCTAATCTACAGTCAAGCGTTATATTCATCTTTTTTTTAAAGCAGGTTTTTATTGAGTTTAGGGAAAGAGGGAGGGAGAGGCAGAACGAGAAACATCAATGTGAGAGAGAAACGTGGAGAAAGAGCGATGGGCTGCCTCCTGCACAGCCCCTGCCAGGGACAGGGCCCGAACCCCGGCGAGGAACTGACCCACAACCTTTAAATCCATGGGATGCCACCCTGACAACTGAGCCCCACTGGCCGGAGCTTTCATTGTTTTCGATGTGAGATCTGGCCTCTGAGAGGCAAGAATTATGCACATACCATCGGATGGAACGACCCATCAGACAGTGCTCCTGACACCTCGGTGCCAGCACCTCGGCCTCACAGACACGAACCCCATGACCCTGGAAGGCAGACTCAGCATCTGCACTGCGGGAACTGGAAACTGAGGGTTACAAAATCTGTTTTGCCATCAAATGCCTTGAATTTAAAGATAAATCAAAGATAATTATTAATAGTTTGAGTAACAAAGGACTAAGTAAGCTATGTGGTTGACACAAACAACTGCTTTTACATAACTCAGTCTTTCTTTAAATATGTTTTTGATTTTTTTTTTTTTTAGAGAGAGGAAGGGAGAGAGATAGAAACATCCATGTGAGAGAGAAACATCGACGGGCTGGCTACCTCCTGCACGCCTCCTACACGGGACTGAGCCCGCAACCCGGGCAAGTGCCCCGAAAGGGGATCAAACGGGACCTCTCAGTCCATGAGCCGATGCTCAATCCACTGAGCCACACCAGCCAGTACATGACTCTGTCTTAGTAAGTATTCAGCTAAACCTAAATTCTCAAACAATATCCACAACCAAAATCCTAATAAGTACTAGATAGTAAATGTTAATGTTACAGTAATAGACCAACCAAGATCATTGGGATCTTACTGCATTCCTAACGCATAGTTTCTCCTGGAACTTCACAGGAAGCCGATTTAAATGTTAACTTCACCAGGACAATGCTGCTATATATAGTACACACCCAACATGAGACAAGACAGAGCCTGTGCTCCAGTCATAATCAAGTCAAATAACTGGCAAGAGCCAACAGGTTTGCATTTCCTGAGCTGAATTCACATTGTTTTCATAGAACAAAAAGTACTGTCTTCTTGCAGCCGCCGTGAAGAGAGACGGGCACTGGACAAGGGGCTCCAGCTCTCTGACCTCAGCTGCCTGGTGGATCTGGCGTAACCCCGTCTCCCCAGGACTGAGGTCTGCTTACAGCAAAGACAGTAACTCGTCCCATAAGAAGCAGTAAAAAGGATTATTCAGACGATAAAAACATTGTTATCAAGTTGTTGTAATAAACAGGAACTGGCCTAA